TAAGAGACAATATTAACAGTACCTCTGGCGATTTGAAGAAAAATATGTTCAGTTATGTTTGTGCACTATATCATAAAGAACATTAAATAAAAGGACAGTTGTATTTCATTTAGAATGTCAAAAACAACTCTTCAAAATATACTATTATGGATTATAGATATATTTACTATCGATTGCTCTATCTGCAACTTACTGTACTGTTACAAAATACTGTATGATTGAAAAAAATGCGTCAAGTTGACTTGGAAATGGCGATAGATGACATTCACCATATAATTTTATATATAAAATGACAGCAATCATCATTACAAGGCTAACTTTAACGCCTTTTTTCGATCGTATGGCATATGAAGTTTGCAATAATATACTCGAGAATATACTAGTAGTGGCTTGTATCACTGCATTATTAAAAAAAGAATTATTGGTGTTACTTTTGTTGCCATTCCTATATTAATCTATGTTTCTATTTACTTCCTTACCGAGTTTTTTACATATATATTTATATAGGTCTTTAATATTATGTATATCTTTCTCTTCCTTTTATATTTTCAGAACATTTGAAGGGTAAGAGAAAAAAACAACAATGTCCATTTATAGTAAGGAGTAATTTTTTAAGTAATCAATTGAAAATACCAAGTCCCAAACATATGCTAAATTGTAATTGAAAATAACAAACGATGTCCAAATAATAACGCATAGTGACAAATTTTCTGTATCTTTAACATGATATTTGGAAACATTAAATCAGTTTTCTCTGTAAAAGTCAGTCAGTTTTGTGATATCGTCGGAAAAACAGACCAACCTTACTCACTATTTCATCTTCTACATAAATAAATTATACTATGTACAATTTAGTACTATGTCACATGTATTTTCATTTCTAATTCTATGTTAAAATTATTTTTAGTAAATTTTTATGCAGGAAAGATGTTAAGTATATACATAAGTATATCTTTTTTATTATTAACTGTAGTTGTATAATGTAAGTATTATTGGTTTTAGGCCCTTAAATTACTTCAATTTTAACAATGTTCCATACCTATACTTGTATTCATTTAAAACTTCCCAATATGGCGGACTTCAGTATGGGAGGCTTAAAAAACGAAAATCTCTAGACTGGAATCGACTGTAGTTCAAATCGTTCAAATTGATAATCTGTGGTAAATCCAATTGAACTCTGACACTTGGCTGACATTGACGTTTACGGTTCCTTTTTCTAAATATTTTCATTATTTTTTGAGATTTTATTCACAAATTCTACTTGATTTTGTTCTTTGTGCAGAAAGTTGTGCAACCTGCAGTACTAATTATATAGTTATAAATAATCTTTTCACCGATCAAGAACTGAGGAATAGGCTGGAAGATATTCAAAATGTGTAAAACGCTTAAAAACGTATTAGAAAATGTTGACTCGTCCACAAATTCGTGAAAATAAATTAGTCCAGATGTTTGTAAAAAGGTCTCTAATTATTTTGAGAAGTTTCCTCGTATCAGTAATTTTCAGGTTTGTAATATGTATATGATAATAAATAGATTAAAACTTATATTTCAGGAAACAGCGCGGGCATTACAGATTGTTGTAAATCAATTTTAAAATATAAAGAAGGTTTAAAACAGGTTTAAAAGTTGAGTTAGTAGAGAAGACTTAAATAAGGTAATGTTGGTAATGGGACCAAAGATCAAATAACACTTGAAATATATAATATGTACAATAATTGTAAGTAGTTTTTATGAATCTGTTTGATATCTATTGCATTGTTTTTATATATTTCTTGAAATATATATTTTTTTACTTTACAGGATGCACAAAGAATAATAAAAAATACAGTTACTCACTAAAAGCACTTAAGGTTTGTAATAGATGTAGTTAGAATATCAAACACCAAACCAAACCAAAAATTATGTTTTATTTTACTGGTATTCCTCGCATTTGAAAGGAAAGTAATTTCATAAATAAGCAGGACATTGTATAGTACACCCTATATTAATAATTCTTTTTTATCCTATACTTGTTAGTTGACATATTACTTACTAGGTATAAAATTTAGTACTGATTCCAAACCTATAGTTGTGGTTGTGACATATTCTGATGTGTTTCTGGCAATTTAAAATAAGTTAATATTTAAACAAACATTTCTGGCTTTCCTGACAGGAGTGTCATAACATATTTAATAAAGGTATGTGGATAATGTTCTGATTATTACAGTTTGCATGGATGTTTTTGTATGTTGTTATTTTTAATAAAGTATATTTAATGAGTTTTTGAGTATGTCTTTTTCCCTCAGAGGATTGTGTTCTAAACTTTATATATAAATTTTCATAAATTATATCTACAAAATTTATTACCTTATAACTTTTTGCTAAAGACTTTGTAGTTGAAACAGTTTAACAGTATATAAAAAAAACTATTTAAATAAGATGTTTGAAAATATATAGCTGTTTTTGCACACATCAATTCAATTTGTGATTAACTGTACTGAAATAAAAACAAATTAAGAGAAATGAGGTAATCTATAAACTACGAAACGAATCATCAAACTACGAACTCTATGAAACGAATCATCCTATTTCCAAGTCTTCTATTAATTTCACTTATTAAACGACTATAATTATTCAATAATCTTGATAATTCTAAGAACTCTCAGATATCGTCAAAACATGAAAACAAAAATTCACTTCCTATAGTTCTTACGTCCCTTTAACTGAAATATAAGAAACAGGGGAGTTAATATTCTCACTGAGAAAGTTTATAAAATACCTTTAAGTAAAATCTTTTCGAATCTGCTGTAAAATACCTTTATTCTTATTAAATAATTTCAATAATCTATGTTTTATTTATGACAACCACCTAATAACCTAACTTTAACGTCAACTTGACAATCCTGAAAAACGTTATTGTTAACCAAAGATTAAATCAATTTCTTAATTCGCTAACGCCAACTTATTTTTCATTAAAAAAAAATTGCCAATTTTCCTAACTAGGTCGGCCATATTGAGGTACTTTTAAAAGAATTGTACTATATTAGGCTTTGTAACAATACCTTGTTATAGTTATGGATGAAAAAAATATCTATTATCTTAGAATTTAAAAATTAACTCTATAAGACCACCGAATATTAACTAAAGACCAATGTAATTGATAGTATAACTTCTAGGGTTTCCAAATTTCGGGATCGGGATCCCGGATTAATTATTATCAGAATGAGAAATTTAATCTAAAGAAATAAATACGTGATAAAAATGCAGGTACATTACGTCAAAAAGAAAATGAGAAAAGAACTTTATTAAAACGGGCAAATCAAAGTAACATTCATATTTTTAGTAAGTAAAAAAAATAAAACTCTTGATGGAAAACAAAATAAAATACAGCAAACACGGAAATATAACTTTCAAATATTGACGATCTGCTTACTTAGTACCTATAAATAAAATATGATCTTTGAAAGACTAAAGTGTATGACGCCGAATGATTTTTGATTGGACATTTACATTTTTCGAGATTTCCGGGACCCCGGTTTGGAAACCCTAATTAGGTATATTATATACGAGATTAGGTATTTCTTGTTGTTTGAAATACCTAAATTTATTTTTCAGAAATCTATAAAAAGGTACAGAAATTATGAACGAAAGAAGACATGGATATCTTGGACCAATTTTGGACTTTTTTGGAACAAACACCATTCTAATTTCAAGATGACTGAAAAAAAACGGTGTCAGCGAGGCCTATAAAATGAAGATCGCTATCATTTTATGGGCAATGTTGTCGATCATCATTTCCGGGCCATCTGAACGCCGTTTTTTTTCGATCATAGGATAATATAAAACATTAAACCATATTTCTTTGTAATAATAGGTATCTAGGTAGAAAAAAATAGAATATTCAATATCTTTCTTTGGAAAATTGTAAACCATTATAAGTAATTTAGCTGCAGTACAATACATTTCGAAATATTCAATAAAAAAAAGGAAAACAATAATACTCCTACAGCCTAAATTCCACAAAAAAGTATTTTCTTAGTGGCGTATATTATGGTTTATGGTTATTACTAGGTATACATTTATGTTCAATTGATTCATTTTACGTTTAACTGCACTGACAAAGCTCTTGATAACAATTATATACTACATAGGTACTAACAAAATGCCCATTATATGAATAAAAAGTCTCAAGTTAAATACATTTTCAACCAACAGACGACCTTTGCTGTTTTGCAACTCGGCAAGACTCCGTATTCGCTGACATCGAAGAAAATCTGAATATTACACAGCGAAACTGAATCCCAAATACGAAATGTTGCTGACGTGGAAAAAGCAGGCTGCTATGTAAGTAATTTTACAGTTCGCGGCTAGAGATTAAGCACTAAATTTAGTACTCCCTAAATTTCTTTTCCAAATTTAATTAAAAAATATATTTCTTGTTGATTTTCGTATATTTTAACATACATCTCACGTAGATCTTCGTTTTACTTATATTAAATCATTAGGATATAAATAATAGGTATGCTGTCTATATTTTTAAAATACCTATGTTCATTATGATACCTATTATGTATGGTTCACTTATTAACTATCCAAAAAAATATGACTATGTTAGAAGAATAATTATTAAGCATAATATTATGTTATTTATATCAAAAGTTCATAATTAAAAACGCTAAAATTCTCAATTTATAAGAACAGAATGTAAAGGAGCAATTTTCTTACATATTGAATGATGTATGCAATATATTATATTGTTATGTTCTTCGTCACTTTGGTAGCTAAACAGATTACATTTTAAACAAGCTCTTTTCAATCTTACAGAGATGTGTCTAAATACCTAATAATAAAGTATAACGTTTAATATTCGTTGTTAAATTGTTACCGTATGTTGAAAATTATGATTAAAATACAGCGGATATACATAACTCCTTGGTAAAGAGATTATACTATAGACAGTCTAGTAAAGTTACACATTTTGAATAATATAGCTATATTTCCGTATTATATAAATAACTTACCTATGATTTGGAGGTTGTCTTTGAGAGTAGGGCATGTTATTAGTCTGTATAGACCCATGATCTAATCTCATGGAGTGTACTTCCATAGCATACACATTGAACACAATTTTTTCTCGAGATTCACATCACTGTTCCCAAATTTACCCCACAATAGTCATAACTAAAAATATGACTTATTTACCAAAAATCCAAGCCGTTTGAAGTTAGTCGCTCATATTGCACATTGGGCTACGTCATCTAAAACTATTGCGATTACTTTTCTACCGAAACAAAAGAAGTAATTTCACAATTTTTGGAAAAATTAATTGTTTTGTCAAACGAAAACGTGGTAAGTTTTTAACCGTTATCTCCCTTTAGAAGGTCGATAATAGTTTTGACACAATTTTTTTCGATTCTGCACACGAAAATCTTTTGGAAAAATGTTTTTTTCGAATCACTGTCGTTAGAGATAAATTTAAACACAGAAAATACAAATACTACATCGTCAAAAGCGCCATTTCGTCGACATCTTGGTTGAACTTCTACTCGAAACAGGTCCGGATCGATCTATCTTCCTAAAAACAGGGGTGGTCGCTTGAACAGAAAGAGACGGAATAAGCACGCGTAGCAATCTAGCTACGCCCTGCGCAAGAGCATGTGGCACGTTGTACGGGACAGATGATGTGTTGTTATTTTTGCAATTTTAATGATTTTGTGACGGATATTTCAGTATTTATGGGCTTTCAAAAAGTATTATTTGACAAATTATTAAAATATAGCATTAATATAGAATTTGTGAAAAGATATGGCAAAATATAGAAAAAAAGTCAATATAGAACGTACGTCTGAGACTTTTACTTATGAAGAACCCATTACTAGAATTTTCTTTTCATTCTTAGGTATGTTTTACGTGTGTACGAGAGAGACAGCTAGAAGACTGTTATTTTAAAGGGGATAGACCAGAAGGCACGTTTAAAATTACATTTTGGTATTACTTTTTTATAACTAAAATTTTATATGGGGGATGTAAAGTTCTCATTTCTAATTTTTGTATATCATCTAGGCTAGCTCTGTCTATTATATTTGCATATTATCTCTCTCCTCTGTATGATCAAAAAGTTTACTGAAGTACTTGATAATTAAAAATAATAATAATTGTAACATAAATTTTATCCGTGCAACGATTCTGGATGGATTTCAACAGACGGTATCCAAGAAATGCTGGACAATACAACTGACCTGTGAATTAAAATCACAGGCAACCACAATGTCCTTGTGTTCTTTTACTGGACAAACTATACTCAGTGTAATTACTTAGGTAGGTATTATAAAAAAAATATTCCAAGATGATTATAAAAGAAATTAATTCCAGTGTCATTTTCCTAAAGATATTTGGAGATAAAGTCTGTCGAATGACTGGACACGTGACAGCAACAGTTGTTTCTGTCATTTTAATTGACAGGTAAATTGTATTTTCTGTCATTTTTGGATCTAGTCTGTCGAAAACTTCCCTAATTCTTTGGATATACTTTATAATTTTATGTTCCATAAAGCACATGGAAGTAAATCAACAAATAATATGTGTTCATTTTTTTTAATTCTATATAGCAATACAATAAAAGAGAATTTTTAAGGTCTATTACTCTCGTTGGACACACTATAGTAGAATTTAATAGCTAAAGACCTTTTTTTTCTCTTTTATCTTATTGCCAGAATTAAAATAAACCAACACATTATTTATGATTTCTATGTGCTTTATGAAACATTTTATATTAAAAAATATAGATTTCATCCCCCTTTCCTTTCGGCGACTGGGTGTCACTTTTTCAAATCGGCCACCGATATATTATTCCGAAAAAAGTCGGTCGCTCCAAGTCAAAAGGACTTTTTTTTCAAACGTTACAAAAGTATTAATTTTTGTCATTTTAATGATTAAGTTTGTTAAGCAGTAAACGACTAAGCACAAAAGTACAAATAATAGTATATTGTTTTATTATGAGTAAAAATTATACTTTTTGTGACGAGGCTGTACGTCGTACGACATTACAGGCGAGGCACAAAAAGTAATTTTTACTCCGTATAGAACATGCTATTTTTTTCAAACGCCACGAATAATTTTTTAAACAATTTCAAACGTTGCTATTTTTTCAAACGTCACAAAAAAGTTTTAATTTTTGCGACGTTATTGCCTATATAACAGCGCTTTCAGATGGAGCGGAGTGCCGCGCGGACCGTCCGTCGCGTTTGTCCAAGATAGCCGTCGGACGAAATCATCCGGACGGAGCATACGCGACTCATGTGAAATTGTTCATAACAGCGTTTTCAGATGGAGCGGTGCGTCTGCGACGGATCGTCCGCGACTTCGAGCAAGTACCATGAGTTTATATGAACGATTTCACATGGGTCGCGTATGCTCCGTCCGGATGAGCTATATTGAAAAAACATCCGCGCGGACGCTCCGCGCGTACGGTCCGCTCCATCTGAAAGCGCTGTTATGGTGCGTCCAGACCTGAGGAGTCGAGTGCGAGACGAGCGCGAGACATTCCAAATTTGTGGTGTTTTTCAAAGGGTGGAGGGGTCTCGTAAGAGCCTCGCGACCGTCTCGCGAGACAACCCATGGAGCCTCGTTGCTATCCGTCCCCTGGCGGTTTTTCGACGGCCGAGATCAAAGAAAACTCGCGGCCAAGTCTGGACGTGTTTTTGGTAGGCTCGCTCCACGCTCGACTGCGAGATATTAGCATTAGCTCTGATATTAGTGCATATTGAAATGGAGACTTGGACGGAAAAATATCAGCTGAAATTTATCGATTTATATACAGCAAAATTAATATAAAGAATCCAAAAGATAAAGAATATTAAAAAAAACAATAAACACGATGCATGGGTAGATATTTCACAATCGATGAATAAAACATTGGGAAGAATATAAAAGAGAATTATTAAAAAGTGTTTAAGAATTATTAAAAAAAATAGAAAACTGTAGAGAAAGTTAAGATACACATTTTAAAATTATTATAGAGTATACAGGGTGGTTCAAAATAGTGTTACGGATATAACATGGTTTTTTAAATGTAATACCCTATTTTTTATTTTATTTTTAGATTCTGCGTAAAATTTTATAACTTTTTTTATGTATAATGCCAGGTATAATGTTATATATATATCTAAAACGGTATACCCCTAAAACTAATAGTTTTTGTAATATTTCAATTTGACTATACAAAAAATATTAGACTTCAGTGTCGTAAAAAATTGTCAGACATGCTATTGTTTCTGAAATTGGAGTTCTAAAATTTGTTAGGATAGTTTTATAGGGACGAAGAAAAAGATATAGGTAAAGACATTTGAGTTACATGCTACAGTGTGTTCAACATATATTTATGAATTTCGACTATTTAAAATTAAATAATCTCAATTTTTTTAAATGGAACACCGTATGTATTATCATTTTTTTTTTAATAGAATTTACAAATTATGCATCACTGACACTTTTTACCGTACCGAAATCTAACATTTCTTTAAACAAATTGAATTATTACAAAATCTATTATTTTAGATATATAGGTAATATGATATGCAAAAAAAATTACCGAATAGTACGTAGAATCTAATAATTAAATAAAAACTAGGGTACTCCCATTAAAACATACCTATATCCGTAACACTTTTTGAAGTATGTACCCTGTATACTCTACAGTAATTTTCAAATGTGCTTTTTAACCTTTCCTATAACATTTCTATTTAACATTTTGTTCTAAAAAACGAATTTTGTAAAAGACGTCGTGTCTCGAAACAAATGAAGGGTAAAAGGGTAAAAAATCGACGATGAATAAAATATATACGACAAACCAAATATCATGTTAAAGATACAAAAATTTACTACTTATGCATTATTATTTGCTGCAGGTTTTTCATCGGACATGTTTACACAAACCGGTCACTCTTCACTATGATCCAACTTGCTTGTCTCGCTTCAGGCTTGCGTCAAAAAATGGATAGAAAATGTCTTGCTCTCGTCTCGCACTCGTCTTGCTCTTGCCTCGCTCTTGTCTTGCTCTCGTCTCGCACTCGACTCCTCAGGTCTAGACGCACCATTACAGCGCTTACCATTTATGGAGCGGACCGTCTGCGACGGAGCGTCCGCGATTTCGAGCAAGTACCATGAGTTTATATGAACAATTTCACATGGGAGCGTATGTTCCGCCCGACGGAGTTCGTCCGACGGCTATCTAGAAAAAACACGACGGACGGTCCGTCGCGGAGGCTCCGCCCTATCTGGAAGCGCTGTAAAATGTCATTTTAACGCCTAGGTATAAAAGTAAAGCACTTTTACGCCTAAGCACAAAAGTACGAAAATATATTACCTATTAAACTGACATAAAGTGTCAAATTCAACGAGCGTAACCATAGTTCCTCGGTCCTCAATATATAATTACTTACAAGGCATTACTTTTAAATCTTTTTATATTATTTGGAACGTTTGAAAATGTTTAAACAACATACCGGGTGCGTCTCAAAAGTGGCTGACCCCCTATAACTTTTTTATTTTTTCAGATAAAAAACGAGATTTGGTATATTAGTATATGACATAAATTAGGATTAATTGACATATTCAATTGTTTTTCATACATTCACTTCCCGTTTCACCGGAAATGACTACAACTTTTGATTTTTAAATGAAACCCTCAGTATATTTTTACTTTATTCCATAGAAAATAATACTCTGAATAGAATGACATATCATATGTCAACTTTTAGCATTTTCACATATTTATGGTTTATTTGAAATTTGAAATTATAACTAGCGGTTCGTAACTAAAATTTTACTCGAAATATGTACCAAGCGTGTGGTATTAAATTTTTCTTAAAAAAATGCTTTTTCCAAATATGCTAATGAGCCACCCTCGTTCCATTTGAATAAATTGAGATATGAGTAAAAATACGATTTGAGCATTTTCTAACTGGTCAGAACAAGACACTAAAAACATTAGACGATCAAATCTACTTTTCCAAGGCTCCTTGATTAAAGAATTAGTGTTTTTAACATAGTCATGGCACTCTAGATTGAATATTAAAATACGATTTTTTTAAGCGAAAATGTCAAAAATTGACTTATGATATGTATAGTAATTCTATTCAGAATGTCATTTTCTATTGAATAAAGCAAAAAAATACCGAGGGTGCCATTTAAAAATCAAAAGTTGTAGTCATTTCCGGTGAAACAGGAAGTGACCAAAAACAATTAAATACGTCAATTAATCTTAATTTATGTCCTATACTAATATACCAAATCTCGTTTTTTTTTATCTGAAAATATCTAAAAAAGTTATGGGGGTGAGCCACTTTTGAGACGCACCCGGTATACTATCACTATAACATTAGGTATAATCTGTTATCTGTGATACTATTATTATTAACAATTTGAGAAAAATGCAATCTATATTAAAAATTTTGCTTGTTCTAAAATGGCTATGAAAACATGAAAATTAGATTGAATTTTTCCTAAGAGCGCTTTCAGATGGAGCGGAGCGTCAGCGCGGACCGTCTAATTATTAATTTTGATAGACAACG